TTAAAATTTATTTTAAAGCTTTAATTTTCAACTTAAAAAATTAATAAATATTAAGAATATGCTGCCTAATTTTATCTTAATTTAAATTAATTATAAAAATTTTTCTTTTGAAATTTTTATTATCAAATCATTCTTATCGGAACTTTCGAATATTATAAAAATAGTTCTACCATTCTTTCAATTACAGCTTGATTATTTTATTTTTGAATGTTCCACTAGCATGCATCTATTAACCGGAATATGTTATATATGGAGTTGTTTATTACAAATTGGACAATAATTGGTTGAAATAGCTGTTGTGACTATGGTGAGTGTCACTTCATTTTGCAGTGTAAATGTACCATTTAACTACGGAAAACCTGTCATAAGTAGGTTCTAATCGAATGTTCGTTTACAGCGGGCCATTCTAAATCAGTCGGTTCTTTTCAGGAATCTGTTTAATTCCGCGATACTGTGGTTTGATACTTGGTCCAGCAAATGCGACAATCGAGTAGATAATCAAATTGCGTAATACGTAATGTAATTAAAAATCAAAAAATTGAGTTTACGTTTTTAATCTTGTTTGTTTTTATGATTTGCACACTAAGGGAATTACGTATGTTAACGCTAATAAATAGCGTTAAGGCAAAAGCGGTCTTTGGAAATTTGATTTGTTCGAAATGAAATTTAAGATAAAGTTTTAAAAGTGATTTGATGCTATAACAACAAGATCATTTGAATTAAATGGGTTAAGCTTAAACGTGAATTTAAACATAAACTTTCGGCAGATTATAATAGTGTTTGACGAGATTGAAGGAAAAAAAAGAAAAAAACTAGATAACTTTTTAGATAACTTTTTGTAACTGTTAAATACGAATTATACTGAAAAAATAAAAATGAGGTTCTTCTTCACGCTGATTATTTAATTTTAAGATTTTTGTTATAGTAATTGTCGAATTGTGTGGACAATTGTTATTATTGCTTGCTGGGGAATTTCTATTAATGTGATTTTCTATGTTTTGTCCTTTTTTTCTATTTGCGATATGTTTAAAATTGCTTTTTTCTTATTTTCTATATTTTTTTCCTTCCTTGTAATCGTTTTTATTTTTTTCTGGTATTTTTTTTTTTTGCTTAAATTGCCTTCTTATGTTATGCTCATACTTAATGTCATTTAAAAGATGTCATAAATGTCGTGGGCTTAGATACCAATACCGTTATTCTTATACTGACTTTTTCCTTCTATATGATTTTTTTTTTATTATTATTTGTTTTTTCTCCTCTGGTTGTAATTTTATCGTTCTATCAAAGAGCGAATGGATGGATTAAATTTTGGTTTTTGGGGTCTTTAGCTAATAGTTTGCCAGTTAATGGTCATTTTTACTGTTTAATTGTTTTTGTAATAAAAAAAAGAAACATAAGCCTGTCTTTTTGTTTTAACATTCTTTACTTTATATTCTTTTTTATATTTCTGTTAATTTTTATTACATATATATTGGTATTTATTACTGTTATGAGCTTAATATTGAGGGTATTTAATTGGTCTATAAAAATAGGTCTATTTTTATTTTTCTAATTAAATTATTTGGTTATAAAAGTGAATTTCTCTTTTTTTTTTTTGGTGGTAATTTAAATGTATGAACTGTAGAAATAATAAAAAAATAATAATAAGAAAAGAAAAAGGGTATATTAAGCAATAATTGAATTTCTTTTGTTTGATTTTATATAGGGGAATTTTTTTTTTTATTAAAGTACTTGGGTAAATTTTATATTATAGAGGAAAATAATTGTACATACATAATTTTCTTTAAGAAAATTTAAGTATTTTTTTAGCTCAGTACAATAAAGTTGTATATGATTACAAAATTATAATAAAAGATTCTGTAATTAGAAGATCATTTTATTAATTTTAGCATTTTAAAATATAAATTTGAAATACAAGTTTTTATAAAATTTAAAATTTTAGTTTGAAGAAAAAAATTAAATTTTTTCAATTAGCAATGTTGCATATGATTTTAATTGGTAATGTTGAAAGATTGCAACGTTGAAAGATTGCAACGTTGTGATTCAATTATAGACCGCACTATGTATGAATTTAATGTTTTCCATTATAAAGTAAATGAATGTGGTAAATTTGCAGTATGTAGACTAATTTGTAGATTGGCAGGTTTGTTCAGCGAGGGTAATAGTGAATCACGGCTGCAAGGGCGGGACATGCTTTACAACACCCATTTGAGGCCAATCAACTCTCCTTATGAACTGGAGCACATTTCAGGTCTGGATGGCCACAAGTTTGCGCCACCTTGAGAGCAAATCCTCTCAGTATCTTTCTTCTGGTTTGAGCGAGTTCATCACACCCTCCAAGAAAGTGCACTGAGGTTTCCTTATCCATCACACAGAAACTGGTCTTCAAAATTCACCGTATTCGCTCTTGTCCCTTTCTTAATTCTCAACAAACAGTATATGGTTTGAATATATAAAAGGACTCAGGCCCAAGGAGAGGTGTGCCAACCACTCTCCTGCCAGCGTATTATCTGCTTTATTTTTTCTACACCCGATATAGAACAAACGGGTTGTGCCCACCTAATTTATTAAGGATTTAAATTCAATTACATACTGTCGCAGAGGATACTGAAAATGAATTCGGCGCTTTATTGTATGTGATAATAGTGTTTGTGATAATTTGTGTAATTTTGTGTAATTGATACGTGATAAATTTTTGTAGAAGAAATTTATCAGAAAACCATTTGTGATAACGGAAAAGTCCTAAAGGTATTCAGTTATAAATAAATTGTTAATTTTTTATTTTACTTTACTAATTGCAATATAGCTAGTTAATAACTCCTTCGGTCTATACAAATGAAATATAAAAAAAGTTAAAATTAAAATTTCTGCGTTAATATCAATTTATTTTTATTAAAATTTTGTAAAATAATTATTTTTGGTTTTTATTTCAATTCAATTAAAATCAGATTTTTATTTATTTTTAACTCAATTATTTTCATTGGAATGCACAATATCCAAAAAAAAAAAAACAAGAAAATTGTAAATGAAGAAAAAATAAATTGTTTTTTTTATATATTTATTTTACAGTAATTAATATTAATAATCTCAACAATATTTTGATCCATTCTTTTGCATATTAAAAGGAAAAAAATATCCTTTTTTATGCAATAATAATAATAAGGGCATATTAGAATAAAAGAAAAAAAAATTTTGCTTTGTAATCAATATTACGAAAGAAATCAAAGAAAGAATGAAAAAGGAAAAGAAAATGTAGATAATTTCAAATTATTAAAATTGAATTAAAATAATATTTTTTTTTTAAATTAAAAAACAAAAGAGATAAAATTATCTCAAAAGAACAATTTTTTTGATTTTAATAAAATTATTGTTAATTTAAAGAATTAAGATTTTTTTAACAAAAGAATCAAAAGACGTTTTTTGTTTTGTATTTGTTTTTGCTCTAACATTGATGACATGACCGTAATTAAAATAATTGTTGTCCGAATTTTTTGTTTTCCCAAAGGGAGAAAATATTTCTGTTACCTCCTTCTCTCTTTTTTTTTTTTTTATTACCTTTTTTTCTACATTGAATATTAAAAATATTAATATATTAATAATTAAGGATAATTAAATTAAATTTTCATTATGGAGTTTTTCTTTTAAAACATATTTTTTTTTTTTTTTTTGTTAATAGGATAGGGGTTCTATAAATGTGGAAAAAATTTTGAGTTAAAATAAAATTTTTTTTTTGTATTAACCCATTTGCTACCATTAATTGTACCCATTTAAGTACTTGTCCGCCCGTCCGTGGATATGTTTACAAAAGTTCAACATCTTTGAAAATAGAAGGCTGACATCTCATGTGTATACTCGTATAGATCTTTAATAAAAATTTAGAAGAAAATTTTTACCTATATCATCCCTCTAAAAATTATAACCCCCCCCAATAATTATACTCTCATCCAAAATGTATGCAATATCTGCAATATTTTCGTATGAGAATGAACGTAATTTTAAAAATATAATTTTAATGTTTCTTTTTAAAAGCAGTATTTGGACTTGTTGAAGGGAAAATTGCCAAATCATAAATCACTGGTTTGATCCAACTTTATTTTTTGTATGAAATTAAAAAATTTGAAGGTGTTCAGCAAAATCGAGAGACTCCGATTTGAATGGGTTAAAACGAATAGAAAAAAATTTGAATTTGCTCTTTTTATTAGGAAGGTAGCTTTTTGGAAGGCTTTTGCTCTTTGTTTTTAAACAAAAAGCTCAAACGATCTCAATGTAAAGCGAAGTTTTTATATATGACATATGAGAAGTTATTTTCTGTGTTTGAAAATACTAATAATTTTTGACTCTTTTTTGACTTTCGTTTATAAATTTGTATGTTATTTATTTTGTGCTTTTCAAGATTTTCCCGAAATTTCCCGAAAAATAATTCCCGAAAAAATTCCTTAAGTTTAAGGAAACAAAAAAAAAAAATTGCCTTAAAGGGTCAGTCATCTTTAATACGCCTATGAAAATATAATTGTTTTTTTTTTTAAGACCATATGGTAACCCCAAAATAAAACTATTAAAAATTATTAATGAAATTTTTCTTTGGTTTTTGTATATTTTGAAATAAAAATATTAATATTTTTTTTTAATATAAAAAATAAAAATAACAAAGAAAGCATTAAAAAAGGATTCTTAATTGTAATTAGATTTAGTTTTAATGCAGTTAATTAGCATAAAATAATAATTGTTTAATTTGTATTGTATATAATGGATTTTTATTGTATATAATTGGGTGAGGGGGAAGAGGAAGAGGGGATATTAAGGCAACATAGGGGTGAATTTAGAAATAAAAGAAAATTAAAAGAAATGAAAATTAAATTTTTATTCTATTTTTATATTATTCTTTTGTGCCTTTTTTTTTTTTATTAATATTATTTTTAATAATTTTAATTAATTTTTTTTTTTATTTTCATCCCTTTTAATATTTCATCTCTTTTTTTTTTTTTTGTTTGTATTTTTAGACTTTGTCAGTCTTAAATCCATTTAGAACAACAGAACAAAGTATATTACAGGATACTGATATGGCTGGACCATTAGCTTTTTGTTTAGCATTAGGAGGATTCTTATTATTGGTATGTAAATTTTTTGTTTTTAAATCATATAAATATGTATTTTGTAAGGTAAAGCATGTATATTCTGTTGTATGAATAATTATGTATTATGAATTATTATAATATTTTAATTTTTATTAATAATATAAATTTTCATTGTGTATACAATATTCTCCCATACACTTGATCAAGAACAGTGTGATATTTTTATATTAATTTTTTTATATAATTATTTTTAATTTTTTAAATTTATTTTTAAAACACTATTATATTTCGTAAGGTAAATGCTACAACTAGATAACTCGAAAATTTTATATTTTTACATAATTAACTTAGGCGTCATAAAATCGTATGCTCTTTCACAAAGAAATTATTTTTCTCAGTGTGTCAATGTTTTTACAGACTTTTAAATTACTTCGAACAATTTTTTTTTGAAATTTATTTTTGAAACATTGCTAAAAGAAATAAAAAAATCTATGAAATACACTGAGATAAATATTTATATAGATATCAAATACACTGAGAAAAAAACTAAGTTGATTTTACAAGAAAAAATTGAAAAAAAATATTGAAATATTCTTTATTAAAATTTCATTAATTTGTGAAGCAAGTATCATAGAAATATGGATTTTTGGGAAAACACGTCTTTTCAAATCAGTTTTACTTTCGTTTTATGACAAGTCAACTTACAATAAATTTGAATGAGAAATACTCCACGGTGTATATCATGTAAAGTGACTGTGATTATTCGTTTTCTGAGTAAAAAAATTTTCATTTATTTTATTTTCATACATGATACAACTAATATATTATATAAGCATAAACATAATACGGATATAAACATAAGTAAAAAGGATCATATTTAATAAAATGCAAAAAATATTGTATTTTTGCTTCTGTTTTTTTTTTAATATTTATTTTAGCTCTTGTTGTTTTTGTATTATTAAAATGGCAAACCTTCATTAGCCATATAACAAAGAAAAAGAAAAAAATATTTTCTTTTCTATTGTATTTCATTTGAAGCTCATATATCGAATGAATAAATACAGAAATGAAAAAAAATATAAAATATGAATAAATAATTAATAAATTCACTACTCATTCATTACAATTTTTTTCTTCACATTCACATATATTGATATGTTCTTTCATTTTATTTTAAAATGAATTATACATATAACATGAATACAATAATGAATTCATACATGTATTAAAAAATACATATATATATTATTATATACAACATCCATAATGTTTGATAAGTTTGAAAATATCGGACTGTTTTTCGGACCCTTAATTTTTTCCATTTCTTTTTTTTTTTGCTTCTTTATTTTTACATACAATATTAAAATTTTTTTTATTTTCATTCTTTTCTTCTTGTATTAATTACTTTTTATTTACATACTCGTAATATTTATTTTTATTTTATTTTAGAGCGGGAAAGTAACATTCTCATATATATATGGAATTGGTACGTTAGGATCACTAGCATTTTATTGTCTATTATCATTGATGGCAACACAAGCTACTGTTACATTCGGTGCTGTTGTATCAGTTCTCGGTTATTGTCTATTACCAATGGTTTTGTTGTCTGGTATTAATGTTTTCTTTACAATTCAGTAAGTATATATTTATGTATATATTTTTTTAAATTACGTATTCAATATGGTATTTTATGATTATATTTTTTTTTCCTTTTATGTATCAATATTGATAATAACTTTTTGTTATACACATTTATTTCTTAATTTAATGCTCCTTGCTTTGTTAAAATAAAAACAATATGTATTAATTTAAATATGTAGAAAGATTTACAAATGCACAGTACTTGCAAAAAGAAAGTGAATAATTTTTTTTTTTGAACTTAATTTAATTTCGAACTTAATACATCTTCTACCCGGTTATGTGCTGTTAAGTACTGCTATTTTACTGCATTCTCAGATTTTTGTTATTTAATGTATGGGGAATTTTTAAAATTGGCCGAGGCTTTATAATTTCAAATCGCGGGAAATTTAAGAATCCATTTTTTTTCGACAATGACTGTACATTTTCTTTATTATTTTATGATTAAACAAAAATGTTTTTTGTTTTACCAATATTGTAAAAAAAAAATTTTTTTTTACAACTTTTTTTTTAATAGGGTATAATTTTTGTACAATAATAATAGTAAAATTTATGGTAGTTTGAGTATTATAATAAATTTTATATTTTTATCTTTTATTTTGTTTGACAAGACAAAAAATCATTTACGTTATATGTATACAGGATGTCTGGTATCAAAGTGCATTTCTTTTGTGTCGGACAGGTCTATTATTAAATATGATTTGGAAACCTTAGAATAAAGGATATTAGAATATTTTAGTTATAATTTCTTTGAATTTCGGAATCACATGATCTTATAAATCGAAAAATTTGCAATTTTAACTTTTCGTTTTTAAAAAACGTTATGTTTCAAAGCGACGTAACCCTAATGCAGCAAGTTAATTCTCAAATGCAACGTTACTTTAACATAGCCGGTAACCTTGTTAAACTAAGTCTTATTACTACCTCTGTTTCTAGTTTCGTAGATGTTCAATTCAATAATTTAATTTCCCTTTCATATGAAAAAATTGAAGACCCAAAGAAAATCATCTGGTATTTTTCATTGATACATCAAGAAACTCGTTTTTGAGCCGTATGTCATTTTTAATTTGATTTCAAAAATTTTTTGATATATAAAAATTACCGCAGACTCTGTACACATATTCATACATGTGTTACTATTAAAAAATTTTTTTTAATGCGTTTGATTTAAAGTCAAAGATTTGTTGAACCTGAAATTTCATTTTTAATGACAATATAATATGCAATTTGTTGGTAGGTGTTTTTCTCTTAAATTATAAAGTGCATTGATTTATTAAAAGAAATTTTAATCAAAATTGTAATAAGTTCATTTATTTTAAATAAAGCAAATAATTAAAGTAATAAAAAAGAATATTTCATTAAATTAAAATAAATTTTGCTTATATGATTATGGTTTTTATTGCTATTGGAAGGAATTCAAGAGGAACGATTAAAAATTATGTTATACATATTTTAATTAAATTATTTGCAAATTACATTAAGAAAAAAAATTTTAAATAGAAATTTTAGATATTTGTTGTAGTATGAAATGAATTATACGTTAATGTTCGAGAGCAAATGAATGTTTGAATGAGAATAATGATGTTTGATTGTTATTATTGATGTTGGTGTTCGAATGCACATAGTTTGTTAATTTAATAAATATTTTTTTTTATCACTTTCATTTAAATTTCTATTTAAATATTTGTATAAATGAAATGAAAATTATCAAAATTATTAAATTTCAAAACGTCCTTTAAAATTTTAGGGTTATACTTAATTTAAGTAAACCATATGATTTTAAATCAATGAACTTTAATTAGTTTTACATATATTCATAAATTTTTATTTATATTGTTGTGATTCATTTCAAAAATTGTAATTATAAAATATTTAAAAATAAAAAAATATAAAAATTCATTTTGTTTGTAAACAACTGAATTGTTAAATCAAAAAATAATTTTTTATTTGTTTATAATTTTCACATTTTCTTTTTTGTTTTTAGTGAAATTCAATCAAGTAAAAATTAATTTTTGTTTAATAATAAAAAAAAAATACAAATTTAAAATTTTATTTTTTTTTTCTCAATTTTAACACCAACAATCAATAATTTTTCGTGGTTCGTATACACAATGTTTGATGAATAAAATTTCATATTTTATAATATTTTTTTCCATTTTTATCAAAAAATAATAAAATATAAATTTTAAAAATAAATATTACAATATGTGAGTTCGAAAAACAAAAAAAAATATATATGTGTATGTATATTGTTGATATTAAAAAAAAAAATTAAAATAAATATCATCACAAAACTACATGAGCGAGAATATATGAGTGGGATTGAAAGAGAACCATTTTAGATTAAAAATAAAACAGCGGTTGATTAAAATACTCATAAATATACAAAAGAACCGGGATATAAATACATTTGTATTTATTTAAGTATATACATATACATACGCACGTATACATATGTACTATTAAATATTTGCAATGATAACGAGAATTCAATATAGTAACAATTTTAAGAGTCCATTTTAAAAATAAAATAAAATTTTGTATATATATAATATAAATATATATATATATATAGTCTATATTCAATATAATATTCTAATTTTCGATATTCCAGTCATGTATATGTATATATTTTAAATTTTTCTATCGATTTCTATTTCAAATGTTTATAAAAACAAAGAAGAATTTTGTAAAATTTTCAAATATTATTTTGATATTTCAAAAATAGGAGAATTTTATATGAATTGTAAAAATATTTTCAATTTTATTTTAGTTTAATTTTAATTAAATTATTCAAAGGATGTAATAAAGAGTTAAAAACTAAGATTTTTGTGTAGAGAAATTTTTTATAACACTCTAATAAAATTATCAGTTTTATAAAATTTATAGTTTCCATATATAATTTTATTTATTAGATTTGAGAAATTTAATTGCTAATCTGAATAAAATTTAAGATTTGAAAATTTGACAATAAGTCATTGTAATTCAACTTAATGATAGAATTTATGCCTTTGGTAAGTTTCTAAATAGCTCAGATATTTTTGATCGGAACTAAATTTATTTTTTATTGCTACATTGCTGTACTTATCTAGAAAATTTAATTTTAATCCTAGTCTATGCACTTGAATTATATACTTAAAATAACAACAGATTCTATCATTTAACTTCAATATTAGAACAGGATACGGCAAATCAATATTTTGCTATAAAATCTATTTTAATGGGTAAAATCATTTTTTTGAATTCTGAAGCCAATTTTCTGCCAAATTTTTGATATACTCGTACAATAGTTTTTATAATTGATAATATGAAGAGTTTAATTAAGAATTTTTAATTGATCTTCCATTTTTGGCAGATCTATTTTTTTTTTCTTATTTTTTAAATGTACTAAGTCTAATGAACATGAAATTTTTGTAGAAGATGCAAATATTATTTGGTAAAATTTGCTTAAAAAATTTATTGCTATAATTTTAAAAATATTTTTATAACTTGGTAAAATTATGATTTTTTTTTTTTGTACTCATGAATTAATTTTTCCCATATTTTTTTCGAAATTATTTGAGAAATTAATGTTTTACAGTTTCAATTTATGTATTATGTACGATAGAAGAATAAATTTTATAGAAAATTTTACAGATTAAAAGTCAAAAAATCCTCTACAAATTCCTTAAATTTTTTTTTTATTTTTCTCTCTTTTAGAAAATATAAATTTTAAATATCGGACTTCACGTACAAAATATGATTTTTGTATATTTATAGTTCAAATTACTAAATCATATTAATCTAGTCCTAGTGCTTGATATAAAAATTCTTTGCGTGACGTTTTTCGTTTTAATTTTATTTTTATAATATTCAATTATATATAGGGTGATTCATGTTGTTTTTTCTTGTGAATGGATTATAATTGAAGTGAAATTATAAAGAGAGTTTTGAGAATATTTTCGAATAGAAATAATTGGAATAGTTTAGGAACCAGTTGCAGATGTAAAGTTATTGGAAACACTATAAAATCATTTATCGGGTTGTTTGCAGCCGTACTCTTTATGTGTTTGGAGAACCTTTTTTTTATTTAGAGAAGGAACTCATATAAGGAGCGTAATCTCAAATTCCATGCAATGCTTCATTAAAATAAACATTATCAGAAACTTACTACGCCCATTTGCTATAATTAAATATACAAAATTTTAGATTGCAATTAATATAAGACTTGTGGTTAAGAAGCGTTCTTGTACTTGCATTTTGTTATGACAAGTATATAAAATTTTTTGTTAATTTCAAAATTTCAATCTAAATTCAATACTCATATACGCTTTCAAAATATTTTATATTGAATCACTCTATATACTAAACTGTGTATTTGTTAACTGTCGTGTATATGTAAAATACTTTGTAATACTACAGGCATATTACACTCCTCAAAATTTTAAATGAAAAAATTAAAAAAAATCTTTCCAGTTTTTTTCCTCATTTTTTTTTCTCTTTTAATTTTTTATTTTAACTAATGTTTTTGTTTCTTTTTTTTTCTTATTTTGCATATTTATAGGGGACCATTTGGATTAATTTTAACCGGAATTTCGATTTTATGGTGTGCGATATCAGCTTCAAAACTTTTTGTCACAGCATATTCTATGGATCATCAGCAAGTTTTGGTTGCGTATCCTTGTGCATTATTATATGGTGTTTTTGCTTTGATTACAATTTTTTAAAAAGCAAAAATTTTAATGGAGGAATAGAAAAAGAAACTTGAGAGAATATAAAAACTGAAACAAAAAAAAAAAAAAACAAATAACGAAGTGAACGAAATAAAACCGGAAACAATTTTAGAAAATAAATTTACAAAATTCAAAAAAAGAAAATTGGTTAAAAAATACAGAAAAATTAAAAAAAAAAATGAAAATGTAAATTTGTAAAAATAATAAAAAAAAAAAACAAATGAAAAACATACAAAACGTGAGAAAATATTTTTATAATTCAATGTAATTTTATCTTTAACATTATTATATTGCATATATATAGGCGCATATCTAAATATGCTTGTATTCCTGTACGTACATAGAAATAGAATTGTATTTAAATAGAGTTATTTAAGTGTAACCAATGGAAAGGCAAATGTTTTGTAATTTTCATATTAAAAATTTATTTTATATGGCATTGTAAAATTCGTTTAAGTATAGTTAAAATTTTTTTTATATATTTTTTAATTTCGTTAAAAAAAAAATGTAGAAGTACGTTAATTTATTCAGCGCTATTGGGCATTAAACATTAGTTATGGATTTTTTTTTGTTTGATCATAATAGGATTCTGTTATTTCCATTAAATGAAACCCATGGACGTTTTTAGCATCTAAGTTTCATTAAATTTTTAACAAATCAAATAAAATCCATTCACAATGTTTGATCTGTAAACACTGCCCGGAAAAAAAAAATCAATAATAAAATTTTAAATTTAAAAAAAAAAATTGCATAGCAATTTCTTGCCAAAATTAAAAAAATTAAATTTGGAATTAAATTTGGAATTAAATTAGATAACTTATACGTTAATTGTATAAAATATTTTTATGACATATGTATTTTCTCAAAAAACTTAAGTATAACTAATAAAGTCTTAATATATAAGCTCAATTTTTCAACAGTTCACATAATTTTTTAAAATTTAAAATATTTATTCGTACATTTATGTCACTTTCAATATTTGATTTCTAATGGTGTGGAATGTTATCTAGCACTACTATAAGCTAAACTCCTACATGTAATTTAAAATTTAATTAACACTGTTATGTTATATAATTTACTTACTTGTACTTTTAGTATTATTTTTTAGTTTTATCATAATTTTGAGAAATTTCTAAATTAATATTCACAATTTATTTCAATTATTTTTTTTTTTTTTGTGTTAAATTCCTGTCATTAAAATTTTTGTTTTATGTTAAGAAATTTTCAGAAACTTTATCTAAACGAATTTCATTGAATCTAAATAATAAATAGAATTACGTGTGTATGTACAGGAATATAAAATATATTTTTATGTAGAAAAATGTATGTTATTAATATTATATAATATGAAACGCAAATAAAAACAAGCGTTTTTGCATACTTGTTATGTATAAAATGAGAAGAGAACTTAAATAATTTGTAGTTTTAGTGTTCTAAATAAGTTTTAAATGTTGGAATTTTTGTTTTCAATCCGGTTTTTAAGAATTTTAATTTTTATGTTAAATTTTATATTATAATTATATATTATGCTGATATTTTGGTTCTTTAAGTTACATACATATGTGATTAATGGTTTTAAATGTTATAATGATTTTAAAGCTTAAAATTTTTTGTTAAATAATATTTAAGATATGGGGTATTTTCGAAAATTTAGTATATGCTTTAATTATTAAATTAAATTGTGTATTTCTATTAACTTTTATTGTTAAGTTGAAAATTACAAGAATTCTATTAATCTTCTTCTTGATTACAAAACATTTTTTCTTCTGTTTGCATTTAACTTTCAAATCCATTGTCCATTATAGATTATAAATAGAATTTTGGAATATACTTTAGTGTAGGTCAACTTTAATATGAACTATCGAAAGTACCCAATTAATTTCTAATAGTTGTAATATTAATTATTGCAATTCCTAAACGGTAATAAGTTAAAAAATATTTTTTAAAATTAAATTCATATAAAATTTCGTATTCAATTTATTATTCAATAAATATAAATTTCATTTTCTGGTTCTACTAAGAAAAAATCGAATTGACTGCCCATATAAAATAAATTTTCGGCAACAATATTGTCCTACATATGGTTGATTCTAATAAAAAATAATTACTTTACAATTCATTGTACCGGGAGGGCCAATGTATTTTGTAATGTTTTTTTTCCGGTTTTCTCTATTTTTTAGTTTTTAAAATATTTAAAATTTATATGGAATTTTTATATAATAAATTTTCATAGAAGTCTCTAGGAATTTATCATTAGTATGATCATATATAAGGAGAAAATTCTTCTTTATTTTTTACATTTACATATTATGTATGGACGTGTTTTTTTGAGTAAGAAGAGAAATTTGTTTTATTTTAAATTTATTTCACAAACCGTCACATCACATATGTACATTTATAAATATAAAAATAAATGGAATTAAAAATATGCATAGTGTGTGTCTGTAAAGTCTGTAAATAATGCTAATTTGAATATGTTATGGAAAACAGAGAAAAATTGAAAATATTTTCATTTCCATGCTAGTTTTTTTTTTTTTTTGCATAAATTTTGAATTTTTTTTTTAAAAAAAAAAGGTGCATAAAATTATGGATAGTTTTTTTTTATGCTTGTTTTTCAATTTTATTTTAAAATGCGGAAATAGAAAACGGATGTTAGACGTATGTTTTACACATTGAGAAGAATATTTTGCATATGAGGAGATGAGATACTTTAAAAAATTGTTAAATTTCACAGAAATAGAAAAAAATAGTAAAAAATTTTTTTTTCCTTTTTACATCATATCGAATGTTTGCATAGATTTGCATAACTAATTAATATTATTCCCAATATATGTATAGAAATAAATGCATTAACCAAATGTAATAATAAATTCCCTACTCTTCTCTGTTTTTTTTTGAATTTATTTATTCTAATAAAGTCGAATGAAATTTTTTTTTCAATGCTATGTTGGCTATCAAAAATAACAAAGGGAAATTATTCAAAAGGATAAAAAAAATCTAGGAATAGTAATTATTAATTCAGAATTACAAATTAATATATTGAGTTAAAAATTAATATTCATAAAATTATGGGAGGAAAAATGTTATTTTACAATGATTTCTTAAAATATTGTAATTAAATGCATTATTGCAAGTTCCATTTTCTATCAGTGCATTTACAAAGTAGGAGATTTAGTTTTAATTGTAATTTATTTCAATTACCAGTTTTAAAATTCAATATTCTCGATTAATGGTATGTGATTTATTGAGGTATAAGTCATGAATATTAGCAGCGATAAAGGTGAAATACTGACAAAATTTTGAAATTTTCAACTTAAATTAGTAAAATCATTCTTAGACAGACACTTTCATATTGAGATTACTTTTGAAATCATAAAAATTTTGTAACTTCTTTACAGAAAATTTTTGTATTTTTATATTGATTGCTATGTCCGATATTTTAAAGATTCCATATTTATCTACACAAAAATAAAATTATTGTGTATAAAATACTTAACTATATTATAGCGTTAACAAACTTATGTATATTATATTGTTTTTTTGGCCAAACCACACAGTATAAAATTTTAGAAATTCTCGTATATAAAGAGGAATTCAAATAGCAAAATTTAAGTAAGTGGAAGGTATTTGAAGGGTAAGTACAAAATTTTTTCATATTTTAATAATCAATTTGGAAAATTATTAAAATAATTTGTAAATATATAAACAGTTTTAGTTTCATGTAAGCTAAAATTAAGTAAAACACTTAATAATAGAGAGTAGCTAAGAGCAGTTTACAAATTAAGTACTCAGTTTACTTTACAAAATAGTAAAAACTTTGTTTTGAGCTTTAAATATAAAATTTGCAATGGAATATAAGTTGAAGGAGAAAGTGTTTAAAACAAATTAACTTATTCTTTTTCAGGCTCCAGATAGTTTTGAGAAATATTTCAAAAATTAAAATTCTAACTTTTATAACTTTTTTAAAATAAATTTTTTTATTTATTGGATTTGTTTTTTGTTAATCGATTCATATTTCATTGAAATTTAATAATGATGATCAAGGCGAACTTATTCATGTCTATGATTTTATCCTTAAAGTATTGCAAAAAAAAAAAAAATTTCAATAGCAAATATGATATTTATTTCACTCTTATATAAATTGTTAGCATATGTGCATTAATATTTTTATAAGTTGAAGTGTTCTTTAAAGACCGTATATAAAATATAAAATAAATCTTTAGAAAATAAATTCTTAAAAATTTTTAACAACTTATAATAATAATTTCCTCTTTAATTTTCAATTTTAATGATTTTTCTTTAATATATCAATATAATTATTATTATATGTATAATTGTGTATATATAATCATTAAAATAATATTTAAATTAATATTTCCTTCATTAACTTATTAATGTTTTTCCTTTTCACATCAAAATCAAAAATATCATTAAATAAATTATTATAATAAATAATAATAATATAAAGTCGATATGGAGATTGAAGAGAAAATTTTCATTTTTGAATATTTTAATTTCAGTAAATTTTAATATTTATGTAATTTAGAGGAAAACTTTAAGGAATTGATTTAATTTTGTATTCGATTATTTTCCAATGTTTTAAACGAATTGTTTATTACCTAGATGTATTTCAATAATACCAGATATTACTCATTTCGTACGAGTATAAAGAATCCATATATTATGTATTCCATTTTCTTCATACCTTTGCAATTATTGCACCAGGAAATTTAGAGGTCAATGCTTTATGCACAGTTTAAATAACAAAAATTTTAAAATTTTCGGTTCCATTGCCCTTTTTGATTTATTAAAAAATATGAAAACAAAAGACAAGGAATTTTTTTTAATGTCCTTAAAATTCAAATTCAATAAAATTTTCAACAGAAAAAGCTGTTGTTTTTTATTATTATACATAGAATTATTTATTTTCAATGTTAACATATATACGAGTAAATTATTTATGTACATCTTCGATTTTCTTTGAAATCAAGACAAGGTTCCAAAAATTATACAAAAGAATTTATTTCTTGAACATTTGAAAATTATTGAGGACTTTTTTTTTAATTTTTTTTTTGTTAAATATTAATAGTAGTAAAAATAATTTTAAATAGAAGTGAAAATAACTAAAACCCATTAAATTTTAAAATTTTTATTTCTTATTTTTTATATTTCAATTAAATTCAAAATAAATATTTTATATACTGTAATTAAAATGCAAATAAAATTAA